ACACGGACGAGGAGTATTTTCCGACCTTCACAGTCGATTTGCGTTCGGTGAGAGAGCGACTTCCGCTCCCGCGCTCTACGCTCTTCTCTCTCTATCCTCTCCTCTCTCTCTCTCTCTCTCTCTCTCTCTCTCTCTCTCTCTCTCTATCCTCTCTCTCTCTCTCTCTCTCTCTCTCTCTCTCTCCCCACAGCCTGTCTGTCGCGGCAGGGCCACGTCATTCTTAGCTGGCAGTTTTTTCCAACACCAGCCCACATCCCTCCACTAAAAGCCTACTGAGACAGCCAGCAGGCCGACTCAGGAATTGCAAGGCGCTCTTAAAATAACAAGATAGCGTTATACTTGGGTTGGCTGCGGTAAAAATCTGGTGGTATTTAGTCATCCTGTTAAGTGTTTTCTTCTGGCCTTCTTCAGTGTGTTGAAGAAAAAAAAAGCAGCTTAAACATATCACATGAAATTGTTAACATAAGAGCTTATCTGTGTGATTTTCCTTTGTCTGTCTGTGTGTGTGTCTCTCTCTCTCTCTCTCTCTCTCTCTCTCTCTCTCTCTCTCTCTCTCTCTCTCTCTCTCTCTCTCTCTCTGTGTGTGTTGGAAAGTACAAAAAGAGAGGCAGAAAGGCTGTGAAACATGACACCAGTGTCTCCCTGTCGTTTTTAGGAAACAAACACAAGTGGGTCCCCCTGATGATTGAAGTGAAGTCTGAGGGCCCCAGGGAGCGTTCGGCCTCCAGGAACAACACCCGCCAAAACGACCCCCCTCGAATGCCCCCAAACAGCAGGAATGAGCTGAGAGGTGGGTGGAGGGGGGGTGCCGTTCTGCCACACTTCAGGCCATGTGAGAAGTGGGAGGGAGTTAAATAGAAAATGGAAGTGGGTTACGGGAAAGAAAGATGACCTCACACAGACAAGCCTGGTGCAGATGAATCCAATAGGCCTTTATTCTAGGGGAAGTTGGGTTTTCCTCCAGTTGCACTGCAACGAACATGAATGAGGGTACCCAAAAATCCAAATGCTGTGTATAAAAGCACCACCTGTATGTATGTGAAAAGTATAAATGTATGAAATGTATAAATGTTTCCATATATGTACAATGTATAAAGAGTGGCAGTGTACCAAAGTGGTTAAGGGGCAGGACTTGTAAGGTCGATTCCCCGCTGGGGTGTTGCTGCTGTAACCTTGGGCAAGGTACTTAACCCAGAATTGCCTCAGTAAATATACAGCTGTGTATATGGATAACATTGTTAAAAACTGACTGACGTAAGTTGCTCTGGATAAGAGCGTCTGCTAAATGCCAATAGTGTAATGTATAAAAACACAATGTGTGTAAGACACACACGTTCACATGAAATTACTGAAACTTCTCAGTGCAGCTGAGTGAAATGAGTAAGATCTGCATTCTGGAGCATGTAGGTGCGATCAGGCAGCCTCTGCTTCATCGAGCCACAGAGCACTGTGAGCTGGGCATGGTAATTGATCGTTGTGCCGTGTGTGTGTGTGTGTGTGTGTGTGTGTGTGTGTGTGTGTGTGTGTGTGTGTTCGTGTGTTCGTGTGTTCGTGTTCGCAGACTGGCACAGCGGGAAGCACGAGCGGGAGTGGCGGGACGACCATGACGAGGTCTCCAGCGTGAAGAGCGAGGGCGCCCCCTTCCGCGGCGGGTTCAGAGGTCGCGGCCGGGGCAGGGGGAGAGGCCGGGGGCGGGGCAGGGGAGGCAGCAGAGGTACGTAGCTGACGGAAACAAAAAAAGAAAATCCCAGCATGCTGTGCGCTAATATGTAGAATCAGCACTTCGCACTGGGCGCTCCTTTCTTTATCTGTATAACCCATAATGTTTCTTCTCCCTTTGGTGTTATGTGTGTGCTCCGCCTCTGTGTGGGGTGGCAGTATAGCGTAGTGGTAAGGAGCAGGGCTCTTAACCGAAAGATTGCAGGTTCAATTCTCCACTGGGGCACTGCTGCTGTACCCTTGGGCAAGGTACTTAATCCAGAATTGCCTCAGTAAATATCCTGCTGTACAAATGGATAAAATGTAAAAACTGTAACCTATGGAAGTCGCTCTGGATAAGAGCGTCTGCTAAATGACAGTAATGTAAGGTAATGTAACATCCTGACCTTCCTGCCCCCCTCCCCTCCCTTCCCCTCCCCCTTGAAAATCCCCTCCAGACTAAGCCCTTGGTGTGGTTCCGCAGTGGTATGCTCACGAGAAGGGGGATTGCGAGAGCTTTTCTCCCAAGGGGTCCTAAATCCCACCCCCTGCCACTGATACAGTACAAACACAACGATTTAGTAACAACAGGAGCGGGGTTCGTGTGAAGCGGGGCTCTGATCCCCCCCAGCTGGCCAGCGGAGGAGGAGATTGTGTCCGAGGCTTGTTGGTTTTGGCAGGGAGTTTGCGCTCGCTGGCCGGGGTCCCACTCTGGGGGAAAAACAGTGGCCTGCTTCACTGGAAGGGGGGAAGGAGGGGAAAGGAGCAGAGGGAAGCACAGCTTGTCCGTTGTGATCGCGGCCTGTTTTTCCTCCTTGTGGTATCTCTTAATACGGCTGGCTCTCTGCTTAAAAGAACATGTGGCTGCAGCCCCCACCCTCTCCCCCCTTCCCGGGCATCAGAATGCACTCTCTGGAAACGTGATATTTAAAGCCTCACCGATGAACTTTACACACATATTTGCTTGCTTTTAAGCCCCCTCCAAGTTGGCAGGACAGCCGATTCCAGCAGCTGTGTCGCAAAAAGTGTCAGTGCCCTTTAATTGCCGAGTTTTATACTGTCGTGTTTGACGAGCATTTAATGATTAATTCGGTTCCCTCTCTCAGGGCACTTTGACTACCACTATGGCTACAAGGCCTACGATGGCAAGGACGGGGCCTATGGTCAGAAGTTCAACAATACTGTGACGTACTACTACGACAACATGAGCAGCAATGACCTGTACTCTGTGGACCAGGACCTGCTCAAGGACTATATCAAGAGACAGATGTGAGTACAAGCATGCTGTTTGCCCCCTGACCCTTTTGACCCCTTAAGGTCAAGGGTCACAAGGAAATTAGCAGAATGCAACAGCACCTTTGTATGGATTGCTGTCATGTTTATATTGGCGTGTATGTGTTCTGTGAATTTTGATGCTTAGCTCTCTTTCTGTACGCAGTGAGTATTACTTCAGTGTGGACAACCTGGAGAGGGACTTTTTCCTGCGCAGGAAGATGGACCAGGAGGGCTTCCTGCCCGTGGCCCTGATCGCCAGCTTCCACCGCGTGCAGGCCCTGACCACTGACATCAACCTGATACTGGAGGTCAGTGCCGCTCTGCACCTCATCCAGTGCCAAGCAACCTACTGCCTTGCACGCTGAGCATGGCTGACAGCGACCTTGTCCTTGTGTCATCCTGTGGATTCTTTTTTTATTTGGTCATGCACTTGGTCTCATTTTTTTTCCTTTTCCTATTTTACATTACGTTCCACTGGTCATTTAGCAGGCACTCTCGATAAGAGTGACTTGCAAAGTCCGTCTAAGAAAGTGGCATGAAAAGTTGCACAGACAGAGCACCACTTACCACAAATGAACACGCGTCATTGCCAAACGGTGCTGAGATTGCAAGTGCGTGCCTAAATCAACATGTAAGTGCAAGGCAATATGCACAGCATAAGGACTGTACGATTCCAGATACAATGCTAACACATTCCCTGAGGTAAACCTCCACGTACATAATTACAATATAACCCAGAAGTATGCTTCCAGAGATATAATGCCACATAAGCAGCATGAAAGATCATTATTTAACACGTTTTCTCCTGTGAAAGTAGAACATGCAAACATTTGCATTTTGGGGGTGTAATGGAAACTGATTGCAATTTGCAGGCGCTGAAGGACAGTAAAGAGGTGGAGCTCATCGACCTGAAGATCCGGCGGAAGGTGGAGCCGGAGAAGTGGCCGCTGCCCGGCCTCGCGGCCCCGGACCACTCCCAGACAGACTTCTCCCAGCTCATCAACTGCCCCGAGTTTGTGCCCAGACAAGCCTACGAAAAGCCGACAGGTGAGCTTTGATTCTGCCTTCGGTCTCTCCTATCAGTGTAGCATGCGGTTTGGGCTGGCAGGGACAGAGATGCTTTTTTATCTGAGCGCTACAACAGAGTTGGACTTGAAGGGAGATCAAGCATTCAGACCGATAGAACCGCGAGCCGCGACGGCAGACAGGTACAGGTTTCACGTAGTTCAGTGCTGTGTCAGGCCAATCGAGGGGAGGATGCCAGTCTCACTGAGCGTTGAAGCTTTGAGGGCAGTTAACCAGGGGATGTACCATTCACACTGCTCAGAGTGAGGCTACATGTAGCTACCAGGGAGAACACCATCCATACTGAACATCACAGCGTCTGAGTGTGGCTCATGGAGAATTACCTTTTTACAATGGTCAGTCTAGCAAGTGAGTATGGCTAACTGGGAAATGGATCCCTGCAGCAGTCAGTGTGGCTAACAGTGATAGCGGCAGTGAAATTGGGTGGGGGACGGGCGCAGAGCTCGGCCAGTCTGTCGGTGGAAGAGCGTGCGCCTGCTCAGGTGTGCAGTTGTCTAACGGGCGGAGTCTGCCCCAGATACTCCGAGAGCGCCCAGCCCCGTGCAGCCCAAGAGCGAGGACGTCAGCAACCTGAAGACCTTGCCCAAGGGACTCTCCGCCAGCCTCCCCGACCTGGATTCCGAGTCCTGGATCGAGGTCAAGAAGAGGCCCCGCCCCTCACCGGCCAGACCGAAGGCAAGTCGCCGTTAATGCATATTGCTGTGCGCTGTCCGTGTCGTAAACTAGAAATAAACCAGCATGAATTTATACTGACTTCCAGTGTAAGTCCCTCTGAATAAGAGAATCTGCTAAATTGCATTACATTATTCCCATTTAGCAGACACTGTTACCCATAGTGACTTACATAGGTTACAGTTTTTACATGTTACCCATTTGAACAGCTGGATATTTGCTGAGGTAATTCTGGGTTAAGTACCTTGCCCAAGGGTACAGCATCAGTGCCCCAGTGGGGAATTGAACCTGCAACCTTTTGGTTACGAGCCCACCACACTACACCACACTGCCACCCCGCGCAGAGGCAGTGCACACACACCACCACAGGGAGAGCAAACAGTATGGGTTATACAGATAAAGAAAGGAGCGCCCAGTGCAAAGTGCTGATTCTACACATTAGATTAAATAAATGAATCTAAATGTATGTAAATGAATGTAATGTATTCTCCTAACACCAGCACTACTCCTAGTCCATCTAGCTGCAGTTCTGACACCACCTCACTGTAGCTCTTAGTCCCCCCCCAAATCTCTCCGAGGGGGGCCGCAGTGTGTGACGGCGTGTGTGTGTGTGCTCCGACAGGCCGCCTCGGTGCTGAAGGCGGAGGAGGCCCGGTCGCCCCCTCAGCAGCCTGGCCCCGCCCCCCGTGACGAGCAGGACGAGCCCGAGGAGCTGGACTTCATGTTCGACGAGGAGATGGAGCAGATGGACGGCCGGCGGAACACCTTCACCGACTGGTCGGACGAGGACTCGGACGGCGAGATCGACGACCGCGACGTCAACAAGATCCTCATCGTCACCCAGACGCCGCCTTACCTCCGCAAGCACCCGGGCGGCGACCGCACCGGCCACCACGTCTCCCGCTCCAAGCTGACCAGCGAGCTGGTCAAGGTCATCAACGACGGCCTCTACTACTACGAGCAAGACCTGTGGGACGACACGTACGAACCAGAGTACGCCACTATCAAGGTGAGCCGCCCCTGAAACCCCCCCATTCAAACTCAACGGAATCCAAAAAGGCTGGCGAGGAAACGCTTTGTGGTAAATGACTCCTGCTTTGCGCTGGTTTCATTTATTTCTCAAACATTCCACTTTGGTGATGGTTTCGGTTTCGTGACTTAAGTAGGTAGTTCTGACAGGTTCCAGTCGTGTGGCTATTCTTGCTGGGGTTTTTTTTGTCCTAAGGCTAGCTGAAATGTGTTCTTTGACGGCTGTTTCTGGATCTGCCAGGACAGAGAATGGTCCTCTACGGCAGCGTTTGTTGTTGGCGCTCCCATTGTAGCGTCTCTCTTTGTGGCGGTTCACGTGCTGCATCCAGTGAGCCCGGCAGTGTTGTGGGGCTCCAGGCCTGTTTATAAATAAATCCCCCTTTTGGGAGTATCGGCCTAAGGGTTCGTGGACAGGTTTTTTTTGGGGGGGAAAAATGGCTCTCCAAAGATCAGAGGTAGGATGATTTTATTAAATAACTTCAAAGGTAAATCTTAAAATTCACTGTATGCATGTGGGATTTGAATTGAAATGATAATTTTAACATTGCGTAGATGCTACATTTGAGGGTTGGGTATTGTCATGTGTGGATGTTGATACTGTTGATATTCCCTTGGTTTAAAAGAAGCGTTTTTTAATCAGGAGAGAATCTAATGTCATTGACATCAGTTTTAACTTTGGGTTGCCTTAGCTTTCTTGTGTTGTGGTTTATACAGTGGCTCGTGTTTCTGACTGTTAGTTGTTGTTAGTTGTGTCCACATGTTTCCTCTTCTGTCAGTTATCTTTTACCAGCACTTCTGTAAAATGAGGATCAAATGTTGTGATTAGAACTAATAACTTCAACATTGAAATACTTATGTTTGCATGTTGGTTTGATTTGTAGAATAAGAGTGTGGAATATTTAGTTTTGGTAAAAGAAGTATATGCCTGTATTTGATTTTTTTTTTTTTTTAATATAAGTTCCCTTAATGTTTCTTAAGGTTAACTTTGCATAGCCTTATGAAATGTTGGTCACGCAGGTGAACATTTTTCCCCGCATTTGTCTTGCAGCAAGAAGTGGAGAACTTCAAGAAAGTGCACCTGATCAGCCGAGAGCAGTTTGACTGCCTGACCCCCGAGCCCCCCGTGGACCCCAATCAGGAGGTTCCTCCCGGCCCCCCTCGCCCCCAGCAGAGTAAGCGCACCCCCCTCCTGGGTGTCCTGCTTTCTCACCGAAAGAGGGACTGCAGCGACCACACACCCAGTGTCACCACAAATCAAAACCCAGTCAGACAGCAAATGCAAGGAAACAAAATGGAGCACAGGCATAGATACTTGCATCTTGAAACAGCAGAACCCCTGAGATTCTGGTCCTTTTTAATATCAGAAACAGTGGCTTTCTGTATGTTATACCATACTGCTATGGTGCCAAGTCCTATCCCGCTCTCTAGTTATTATTTCAACATTTGGTTCCATTGACATTGTTATTTCTTTACATTTAGCTGTCACTTCAGTTTTGTACAATTATTGTGTAATTCTGGTTTCATACCCATTTGAAGCGTTCGTAGCTCTGGGTTTTGGATATTTGAGGTTCTGTTCTATTTAAAGTTACCCAAACAAATCTACATGAAACAAATTTCTTCTAATCCCCCCCCAGTCCCCACAGACGCCCTGGCGAACAAACTGTTCGGCGCCCCGGAACCTTCTACGATAGCCCGCTCCCTCCCCACGACTGTGCCTGACTCGCCTAACTACCGCAGTGCCCGCACCCCGCGTACGCCCCGCACCCCACGGCTAAAGGACCCCTCGCAGACGCCTCGCTTCTACCCCGTGGTGAAGGAGGGCCGACCCGTCGATGCCAAGGTAAGCCGGCATCGTGTGTGCGTGCATGCGCGCGTGTGTGTGGGTACAGCTGCATCCGGTTGGGTCCGGTACAGCGGTCAGGTCTGTTCAGGTGTAGTCTGGTCAGGTCTGCCTGGTGCACTTCCTTCACTGACGGCCTTCTCTCCCCCAGACCCCGCGAAAGAGGAAGACCCGCCACAGTTCCAACCCCCCCATGGAGTGCCACGTGGGCTGGGTGATGGACTCCCGGGAGCACCGGTCCCGTACAGCCTCCGTTAGGTGAGAACGGCCACCGGGCTCTTCCCCCCCTCTTGACTGCATGACCAATCCCCCCAGTTCTACACTTGCAAAGACTGCCCTACTTGTAGTACATCAGAGTGCTAACAGGCTGTGTAAAGGTGCATCAGAATATTGAGGCAAGATGCTTAAAATGGAACAGCCCAGTGCTTAAAAAGAGTAGAAATGGAAAACTGCTGCTGGCAGGTTCCTGCCATCATCCTCTGAGCTTTTTGTTTAACTTCTGTATCAACGACCTCATTCTTAAGAGTCAAATTTGTAATCCTCTTAATGAAAACAGCACACAGAAGTAGCAGGGAAGTGTTCCTATCTTCTTCTCTGTTTCATGTCTTTATCTCTTGCTGCTCTTTCTCTCCAGCTCCAATGCCAGCCCCTCAGAAGGCACCCCGGCCCTGGGGAACTATGGCTGCACGCCCCAGTCCCTCCCTAAATTCCAGCACCCCTCACACGAGCTGCTGAAGGAGAACGGGTTCACGCAACATGTTTACCACAAGTACCGGCGACGCTGCCTGAACGGTATGTGGGTGCCGCCTGCTCAACCGAACAAATGAAGCTTCATTACATTACATTCAATGCGCAGACGATCTTATCCAGAGCAACTTACAGCACAATAGAACATAAGTGTGTCCATTCAAGCTGAAAGCTTCCTCTGCGTTCTCACCTCGCCGATCTGCTCTCCGAGCCGGGTGTGTCTGTCTCCTACGCCCATTTCACAACTACATTACATTACATTACAGTCATTTTGCAGACTCTTATAGTTTTTTTTGTACAATGTTATCCATTTATACAGCTGGATATTTATACAGCCTCAATCCCACAACTGCTGTGTTCCTCGGTATACACAAGGAAAAGCCACTCTGGAGGTTGTCTGATCTCCCTTTTCCTTGTCGTCTTTTCCCGCAGAACGCAAGCGGTTGGGTATCGGCCAGTCTCAGGAGATGAACACGCTCTTCCGCTTCTGGTCCTTCTTCCTGCGGGATCACTTCAACAGGAAGATGTACGAGGAATTCAGACAGCTGGTGGTGGAGGACGGCAAAGAAGGATACCGGTAAATACATTCCCGGAGTTCGAGCTGTCCTCTCTGGGGTCCTCAAAGTGATTGGGTGACCATTTTGACCTGAACGTACGCGCTCAAATAGGCCGTAATAATACTACGCTGAAAGCTCTTATCCAGAGACTTGTAACTTTTGCACATCGGTGTCCCGTAAGTCCCCCTTCCCCAAGTTAAACCTAAGATTTGTATCCTTAGGGATTCATTAAAGAGCAGCTTTCAAAACAAAGACATGAAACTTCACATCAACTGATAAAGCTTCCTTTAGCACACGAAGAATTTCTATCAACATAATGAGAGCTGCATCGCTATCTGGCAAGAAACCAAATGCACTTGCACTGGTGATCTTGATCATTAGCACAGTTGCTAATGAATACATACAAATATATGACAGGTGTTTGTATTTTTTGTTTTTGTTGCTTGGTTGTAACACTGGGTGAGAGGACTTTGCAAGATACATTGTAAAATGCTTTAAAAAGTTGAAAATATTAAGGTCCCGTTCAACAAATAATTGCACATCACCCAGTGAATAAACATTTTTACTGATGGTAAAAGCTCTCATTTGGCCAAATACCAGGGTCTCTCAGGGAGGCAAATAAAGTAACTCGTAGCCACACTGCCTGTCTTTTTACCCAAAACACTAATAGGTTTTAGGGATAAAAGACACTTTGAACTTCAGATTCTTAACAGATCATAGGAATTCCCTGTGTGTCCCAACTTTCAGCCTCTTCGAGTGGCATTTGGTGTTGGAACAGGGCACAGAGGTCCACATAGCCCAGATGATCATTGCTGTGTGTTTACACTGTGTGTGCTTTGTCTCGTAGGTATGGTCTTGAGTGCCTTTTCAGGTATTACAGCTATGGTCTGGAGAGGAAATTCAGGCCTGACATATTCAAAGACTTCCAGGAAGAGACCATAAAGGATTATGAAGCTGGTGAGCCTTCTATCCAGCAAATAACTTACTATCCAGACTTTCTTTTATGTGTGTTGTCTCTACTAACTTTTCTCTTGTCTTGACTTTTCAGGGCAGCTGTATGGACTGGAAAAGTTTTGGGCATTTCTTAAATATTCCAAAGCTAAAAACATGGACATTGACCCTAAACTACAGGAGTACTTAAGCAAGTTTAAACGCCTTGAGGACTTCA